AGAGGGTCGGGGGCGCCTAAACAACCTGCCGTCAGAGCACATTTGTCTTCAACTCACGGGGCTACTCTTCCCGTTAATTCTCGTAACAGGAGGGGGGTTTCAGCTTTTCACAGTTCGTGTTTGCATCCCTGAAAACCCGCGTCCCCAGCACCACACAGGTGACGGCCAGCTCAGGCACCACTTGAGTCCTAAGTACATGAATACCGAGTCTCAGCACTTTAACACTAACGCTCACCTAGGGAAACGAGCGCCGGAGACGAGGCAGCGTCAGAACGCCTCCCCACGTGGTCACCAGCGTTCGCGTGCGAGGCCGTGTGCGGGCGCCTGTGACACCCCTGTCACCGCGGGGAGGCCCACGCACCTATCTGCCGGGTCACTGAACACACTCGGCAAACTTCGTTTCCAATTTGAAGTTAAACTGTTGGTTTACTTATTATTTTTACTTTTGAGAGAGAGACACACGTACAGAGTGTGGGTGGGGGAGAGGCAGAGAGAGAGGGAGACACAGAATCTGACACAGATTCCAGGCTCCCGATGCGGGGCTCAAATTCCTGAAGCACGAGATCATGACCCAAGCCAGTCGGACGCTGAACCAACTGAGCCACCCGGACGCCCCCAACTTAAATTGTTGTTTAAGTGGGAAAGAGTGGGATTCTTGCTCTCGAAGAACTGACCCCACAGAGCTCGCGAGGTCCTGGAGGGGAAAGTTGGCCGGGTAGGTGGTGTCTAGGCTTCACAGACCCTTCGTCCTTCGCACCGGCTTTGCAAATGTTGCCACACTCCCCTGACCCCTCCTGCGATGTCTCGATGCTCACATAAGCGTCCTGCTCGGACAGCCTTCCAGGCGAACGGTGCCACCAGCTGGCCCTGCTCTGACCGGCAGGGGCGGGGTGCGACCAGGAGAGGGAGTGAGGTACCCATTCCACGTCGGACTGGTGGGAAAACTCTCTTAACGTTCAAAAACCTTAGGGAGATAAGCCCGTCCCACCCTCGGTGGCTGAGTGCACAGAATGAGGCGGCCCCTTCTGCGCACTCAGGGAGGCCACTGACCACACAGAGGCGCTGGCTGGGGGCAGGAGAGGTCGCCTGAGCGCTGGGCACCTCGGAGCTGTAAGACAGCAGGGCGCCCGTCGGGGAGGAGGCCGGGGGAGCGTAGGGAGCGGGGCACAGGAGACCTCAAAACACAGTGCATGGGGACGCACTTTGGGTGCAGGAACCAGAAACCCCGCTTCAACCGCAGCGTAGTCCAAATGCAACACTTCATTTGGAACAAATTAACTACTAAGTTTCCAGTGTAAAGAAGCCAGCAACGGCTTGGACAGGGAACAAAGAAATCTCGTGCGATTTAACTGAAGAAATATTTAAATTCCCATATTCGTTAAGTTGGTTGAATCTACCCTGGTAAAGTTTTAGATGAGAAAGAAAAGGCAGGGAGACTCACACATCTTTACCGAAAGTGTTCAGTCCCCTCTCCTGGTCCATGACTTCCATGTTTATAAACACAGCCCAGGACACGCGGGCAGCGAGCAGGCGTTCCAAGTCTGAACCTTTCAAACCTATGGCTTCTCGTCACGCGGCCCATGGACCCTGATTCTTCAGGGACCCGCATTAAAGACACGCAGCGCGTCTTACCCACAGAAAACCGTGCGCCGTGGACGACGAATCCGGCTGAACCTCATTATTCACACAGGGCTCAGGATTGTAGGCGGCACATTCGATCTAGCGGAAATAAAATCAAATGCCCACATTTAACACAGGACCAGGTGGCGTCCAGACGCCACGGTACCTTGAGCGGATGAGACTTCTGACACTGAGACACAAAAACCGCAGGTGATTACGTATTAGAGATTAGAATGGGAGGAAAAAAACAGACTAAAATCGGCTTTTTGGAGGCAACCCTCTAAGGAGCCACATGGGTCATCACTTGAGTATCTTCGGACCCCAGGACGTGCCGCAAACGTCTTGGGGCGTACAGGTGGCTGCGGCGTCCGGGATGCTGGTGGTGTGGGCATGCGGACGCACGGTCCTGCCCTCTGCCTGCCAGCCCGCCTCCCTGGGGAGCCGCAGGGGGCCCAGGCTCCAGGCCCAGGTGTTGGCCTGAGACCAGGAAGCAGGAATGTCTTTACTTGTTTCTCACGGGAGGACACATCCACATGTCCCCGAAGACACCCGTTGTGGTGCCTCAACAGGCAGCACAGGACCATGAACAAAACAGCCCCTCGACCCAAACTAGCTTCAGCAAACAGTGTGCGACCCTTCAGGCAAACACGAGGCCTCTGATTGTGACCCACTGTCGGAAGTGGATGCCACCCTCTGACTGTGACCCACTGACCGTGACCCACGGTGGGACCTGGAGGCCGCCCTCTGACTGTGACCCACTGACCGTGACCCACTGTGGGAACTGGGTGCTGCCCTCTGACTGTGACCCACTGACCATGACCCACTGTGGGAATTGGAGGCTGCCCTCTGACTGTGATCCACTGACCGTGACCCCCTGTGGGAACTGGGTGCTGCCCTCTGACTGTGACCCACTGACCCTGACCCACGGTGGAAACTGGGTGCTGCTCTCTGACTGTGACCCACTGACCGTGACCCACTGTGGGAACTGGAGGCTGCCCTTTGACTGTGACCTACTGACCGTGACC